GGGGGGGGGGGATGGCGTCCAGGGAAAGCTGGAGAGCAGAGAGCATGGAGAGCATGAAAGTTTAGTATCCTGACTTGCCTGCAGAACCCTGGGGCATGGTAAAGCTACATAATATGAGAACGCTTCCACAATGATCACCAGCCTGCTGTTATTTTTTCTACAATTTTTAGTACAATGACATCTGCGTAATTTAATCATCACAAAAAAAACAGTGCCTCCTGTTCATGTATGAATACCATTTTTCTAAGATCAGTGAAGCCTGGGCCTCAAAACTACATTGTCTCAGCACAACACACTGCTTCTCTTAATTTCCTGTTTAATTATGCTGTTTAAAGGTTTAAAAATATCTTTACATAAGAATTGGCTGTAAATTCCAGTTTGCCATGGGGGGGAAGGGTGCTTCCACACAAAAAGCACCTTTCATCAGATCTTATTGCAGTTATCACTGATGTGAACAAAATGGATCTCCCCTCCTCTAACTAAATTTTTCCTATATTGAATTAACAGCCTAGGATAATAATGTGTAGACTCTTAGGCAAGTCAAAAAACTGTAGGAGGGAAACAATAGTTGAGCCCAAGTCATCCAAATATTATAACAACTGTTTAGAAATCATTCAGGAGTCTATTACCCAGGGGAGTTTCCTGTATTTTTAACATACAGTTGTATTTAAAATTATCATTGGTTATCTACTGAATACTTCTGTACAGGTCAGTACAGTATCTCCATGTAAACTGCCAATAGTCTGTAAATGCTGAAATAGCAGCTTACAGTGAACAGACCTTCTTTGTTGTTTCAAACTGGAATTTGTAGCCATTTCTGAGACTGGCTCTCTTGTGTCCCAGTTTAAACACCCATTATAGCACCAAAAATTTGGCATTTATACTTTTATGTTTAGGGTGAACCAGGGTTGAATGGTCTTAAAGGATTGAAGGGTGAACCAGGTCAAAAGGGTGACAGAGGGCCCCTGGGTCTTCCAGTAAGTAAAAAGAACAAAACTATTCAATTTCAATGCAAATCACAAACGTCTCTTTCTACTTTCAACCAACAACTCTGGTTTACTCAGCAGCATTTATAAAAACCATATTGGTGCAGAACATCAGTTGTTTTACCCAGAGTTTGTGCTAGTGTCCAAAGTAACACACAGTGCTGTCACTTTCTTTTTGTCATTTGTTAGTTGATAGTCTTTAATGTCACGAAGATGCTGTGATCCCCATTACATTAATCATGTTGTGATATGAATGTTGTCATGTTTTATTTAAAAATAGTTTTCTGGAACAACTTCGTTCTTTTAATATTGATGTCTCCTCAGTCTTCCACTGTTTGAACAACTGCAGTAATAAAGCAGAGGTTTGATTAACTACAATTTAAGTAAATACATTTGGAATTGGCTTACTATTTTCAAATATTCCTCATTCATTCATGGATAATAGATTTTTTATTTTTGCCTTGTACTGCTCAGCTAGGCCTCATTATGGGTGATTGGTATAATTGATAATAAAAGGAAACCAAAGCTTTAAAGATCACATGTCAATCTGAAAATATTGTTAACAAGAAACACCCAAAATTGTTAGAACTATATGTGAACAGAGAAAAATGTGCACTATTTTTTAGTCTGGTTATGTATTTGACAGTACTTTTTCAAAAGGTAGTTTCATATAGTTTCTACTTGATAGCCAGTTTATTTCCCTTATTTTTGGTGTGTGTCTTTCCAAGCAGCAGGGAGGACAAAAGCATTTGAAATGATCAAATCTGGTCCAAATTTTTAAAAGACATGCAGGGAGACTCTGAGGAAGATCACCTTCATCAAAAAGGTTGTAGTTCATCTTATTGAAGCTAGCTGTTAGAGCTATGTGAATAAGGATTTTTCAGTTCCATGACTGCACTGAAAAATGGGAAGAAATTTTTTGTGTTGCCCAAACTGTTTCATTTGACCAAAAATGAAACTTTTTAATTTTATTTTATGGTTGTTCAGACCTTTCTTGCCCCTTTATAAAAATAAAAGGAAAATACTCGTTCAAATCAAAAGTCAAAATTTATTGTTCTGAAAATATCAAATAGAAACATTTTGACTTTTCAAAATTATTTCCTTTTTTCAGTCAAAATTATTCCCCAAACGTATTTTAAATTTGGAGACAGCTCTGGTCTTCCCCTTGCAAAAATGTATTTTTGACCCATTTACTAGTCTCCAAAATTTTTGCCAATGGTATTGCCAATGTCTCTTTGATAATCCAGCAAACATTGGATATTATGGTTTATACACTATATTCAAGTTGTTATTGCACTGTACTAAAGTTATTCACATAAAATCCACCAGGGGTCACTCAGCCCCCAAGGATATAAAACTGAACAGCCTAAAGCGGTGTGTGTCATATGCACCTCCACCCTGGAATTAGGTTAATGATTATATGTTAAAATTGTAACAAGCTGAAGAAACAAGAATTTGTTATCTCCCAGGCTCTTAGAAATGAATAAAACCATTGTTGTTAGGGCCCAGATTTCTTTGCTGACATAATGCAATTTTCTGCATTAAACTCTTCATATAGATGTTAAAACATAGTTTTAACTTGGGTGCAAAATACAGTAATCATATTGTCATGATTTTAAAACCTTCTCTAGTCAGTTTACAAATCTGTTTTTGTGTGTTGAAGCACACTGTAATGTCTGGCATTTGTAGCACTAATATATCTAGAGCCTCATTCTGATCTAAAGTATGCCACTGCAAATCAGGATTGAATCCAGCTCACTGGTGTTACACAAATGTAGAATCAATAGGCATGAGAACAGAATCAGGCTCTTAATGTTGTATGTAATTTTTTAACTAACATACTGTAGTAATGTGATACCCATTCCAGAATCGTGTCACAGTTTGTATTGTGTGTTTAAATTACATTTATTCATCAACACCACTTACTAATCTCACATTCTTGTCATTCGTGTTATACCTGTCATCCGTGCTTCCACCTAATCACACAGGGAGCATCTGGCTTAGATGGGAAGCCAGGACCCCGGGTGAGTCCCTTGTGTTCCTGTGTCATACTCTGTTATCAAGTCTATGTGCTTCTCAACAGCCTGATTTGCTTAGTTTACGTGTAACATTTTACAGTAGGAGTAGTAGCAAGCATCCGTCTCGTGAGACAATAGAATTACACTGAGTGTGATTATCAGCTCACTGAACATAAACCACACTTAAATATAAGGTGAAGCTGGAGTGACTTCTCCAAGGCACAAAAGCCTGGGCAGTGTCTATGGAGATGGTAAGCTGCCCATGCACTGCACCAATGTGCCCCTCTCAGCCTTGCTTGTTTAATCTGTAGAAAAGGCAGTTGCTAATATGTTAGTAACTGTCTTGGCTGCAGGAGCTGCTGGAGCAAAGGAGATCATCCATTTGTCTGTTTATTGGGGCTTCACTCCTAGACTGGCTGCCAACAAAGTTAAAGAACCCAATCTACCCTGTCATGGAGTGGGCTTCAGTCCCACAACTTTTTGGTGGCATTTCCACTACCAGGGGTAAGACCAGTACCCCCCTCTAAGGTGCTCTTCTGCACAAAGCCATTGGCACCCTAGAGATTGCTAGGTTATTTAATCACTGCCCGGCACTTGGTGTTAACAGTTTCAGGTAGCACCATCTACTTACAGAGAATGAGACAAAGCCTCCCAGGCAGCTTCCTTGCAGAAGCAGGAGGAAGGCATAGAACAGATTATTGGTGGCACAGCCGTGTTCTCAAGATGGGCCCATGAATGCATTTTGGTATGACTGGTTGGTATTGCCTAGTTTTGTGCTGTTCCCAAAAGCCTATAGAGATGTAGACATGTCTCAGTGTATTTAAGCCTATTCATCTTGTTTCTAAATGTATTGTTCATTCTTAGTTTGCCTTGGAATTTTAGCTGTTTCACTGAGACTAGCTCTCAAGACCCATGTAGGCAGAGCTATTATTTGCATGAAGCATGTGTCTAGCTTCCTTTCCCTTTCTTTTGCTTGTACTTTTCCTCCTGTCTTCAGCAATGGCAGCCATTGCTTGGCAATTATTTGCAAATCCTGAAGCATCAAAAAGAAAGAAAAGAAAAAAAATGGTCTGGATATTCCTTATTTTATTGAGTAAAATTAGGCTTCCCAGTGTGAACTGAGGCCTCAGTTAGACTAATTCTGTGTCAGTGAGACTGGTGCAAAACTGCTAGGGTTCTGTCTTGATCCTTTTGATATTTAAAATAAATGTTTTCTTTGGCCTTTATAATGATGAACAATGAGAGGAGAAAATGAAGAACAACATAGCTCATTAAGCCTTATAATTCTTTGCTTTTGTCTCTGATGTGCAACCCACACAATTCTCTACATAAATTCTCTTGTTTAACCCTTCAGTTTCTACTGTGCAAAATTTCTCTCTACATTTTAATACCTCTAAAATCTGCTGACTTAAAGCAATAAAGTATCAAATTAGATGAAAGAGGATTACATCATAATTTAGTAGTTTATAGGTTGGATTTTCAAAATCCGTTAATGGATCTGTATGCCTAGTTCCCATTACAATTAAGCCTAGATTTTCAGTCAGTGGGAGATGAACTGCTTCCTGGCTAGAATAAACCTGCTCAAATAAAGCCTGTTAAGACCAATAAGATTTTTCAGGGCATTTGTTTTTCACCTCCTCTTTGTTGGATCTTTTAGGGTATAGATGGCCCAATTGGTCCACATGGCCCAGCAGGTCCTAAAGGAGACAGAGTAAGTACACAATCGTTGGCTGTATTTTTTTTGTCTGAAAAAAACTACACAAGTTCTACTAAAATTAGTTCAAGAGTTCAAGTTGTACTAAAGACATACCCGTGTATTATTGAACAGAATAATATTTGTTTAAGGGTCACTCTTTTAATTTTAGGTTTAAAACTCATTTCCATTTATATTCTGAAAAATTTAATCATGACAACCCCTCACGCATTTTCTGGGTTCTGGCTCCTGCTCCTGTTCCCAGTGGTGTTTTTCAATTTTGAATTGAATTGTCATAAAATAAAATGGATAGGTTCTGCCTCATTAAGAAAGGGACAGAAATAGTATCCCCTTGTTTCTTCTTCTATTTGCTTACCTATTCTACTTACCTGTATAAAGTTGGAGTTGGATTCAAGCCCTCATGTTTATTGTTTAACTATGAGTCTGTCAGCATTAACATCATCACTCTTTACTTAAACAACAAAGTGAAAGATTATACTTATTTCCGACTAAAAGCAAATCTAGAACTGCATCTGTGAGAATTTTTAAGTTTAACAAACAACTGTAATAACACTACTTTAGGCCTGTTGTATTGAAGACATTGCAATATGGCATGGATCCAATTAGATTTAACAGTGAAACAACTGAGGTAGGTCTGCATGGACTGAGAATTCATTTTTGCAAAAAAAAAATGTGGTGAGATATAAGTTCAAGGTGAAGTAATTATGGAATTCTTGCCACACTGGTTGGCACTCAGGTATGTTTAATGGTCTTGGGAGTCTGTTTTGTTGGGGGCTTTTTCTTGGGGTTTCCAGTAAAGTGTTTCTCTTATTTAGGCTTAATTTATTTCTGTGAATTCAACACATGGCAGTCCAGCATACTATGTACATTAGCAAGTAACTTAGATATAAGTTATGCTGTTACTTTCTAAAAATAAATGTCACCTAAGTACCTTTGCTTTGTTAAATTATATTATCTTGAAAGATATGCAACTCTGCAATCGAAGATCTGTTGAAAAAGAGATGTGCTGGAATTTAATATCTCTATAGTCTTAGAAAGATAACAGTTGTTTTTCTCTCTTACATAAGCTTGCAAGGGCATTAATGACCCTTCTGATTTAAAGTCACAGTAGTTTCCAAGAAGCAGCTGCTGTAGATAGGGGTAAGGAAATAATAAGTTTTTAATAACTTAGAAGTTGCATAAGTTTATATAGCCAAATTTTCAAACAATAGAAACTTCTTGTGTAGATCAACTTGATGCTGAAAGTTGAGATATTGGGAAAGGGCTTTTCTGGTGTGGCAGGTTAGCAAAATTTCTATCAGAATAATGTTGTCAGAGTATTTTTATAGCATTAATTATGTGTCATGGTGGCTAGAGTGTTTAGATGTATTTGTATTGTTTACATTGAAATTAATAAATACATGTATAATCAGGTATCTTCATGCATCATTGCAATATTCATTTATTGAGCTTGCAAATGCAGGTGCAGAAACAAGTTGTCCTTGGACCTCAGTCTCTACATTTAGAGAGATAGGCCATAGCATGGCTTCTGCATATCAGTGAACAGGATCAAATTTTGTCCTTGTTGACAGCTAGCATTTTGTGTCAAGAACAGAGGCCATTGTTCAATTGAGAGGGTGTACAGGTGTCTCAAGGTAAAATGTTTGGGGTGGGTCAATTGAAAAAACATTTTTAAATGGCAAATCCAGTTATTATTTAACAAATCTAGAAAGCTAATCTTGCTGGTTTGCAGGAATGCATGTTGCATCTGATTATAGATTTAGGTCTTCTGGGGTAGGGACAGACATTATACATAAATAGGCTTAAGTGATCAGAAACCGGTTTATTAAACCTATGACAGAACAGATGCTCAGTGCACATAAACCAGTTTGAAAATGACTGAAACCAGTTTGAAGTAAACCTGGTTGAATGTAGTATCAGACTTAACTGATTTGCGTCAAACTGTTTTTATTCAATGTCTGTCCCAGACCCCTTGCTGGGTTAAGTTAAATCAGATTCCCCCAGCACCCTGGCATACTCTGTGGGCTGGGCGGGGCTCTCTGCTCCACAGCAGGGCTGGCTCCTCCCCTCTGCTCCCTAGCCAGAGGTCCAGCAAGACTACATGCTGCTCCCTGCTCCCCCTCACCATTCCCTGCTAAGCAGGAATTTCCCCCCTCCCCTCTGTATTGCTGAGGAGGTGTCTGTGTATTATCTAGCAGACCACATGCTGGCTTCCATCCATGCTGAATCAACAGGCAGAATCAACAGGTAGCTGGTAATGTCCCTCTGTTGTTTTCTTAATGGGGTGATAACCACTGAGTTAGGGGATGATAAATACTGTTATCAATTTCCTGCTGGGCTAATCAGAGCATGTTGCCAGGGCCTGGCCACATACCAGTCAGTTCAGTATTGTGCGAGGGAAGGGAGGGCTGCTCTAGCACCCCCCAGCTTCTAGCCTGAGCCACTGCAGGCATGTGCTGGCGTTACTGGGAACTCTGTGCAGTTACAAAATGATTCAGCTTAGCCAGGTTAGACTAACATACAAAGATTGTATAGATTGTATCAATTCAAGCTCAGGCTTTTGAATGTCTGTCCCTAGCCCTGAAGTATTATGGGAGCAAGAATAAATATACAAATGAAACCTATCTTTAACTTTGTAAAGGATATGGATTAATTTCTTATTTATGCAGAATTTGGGGCAATGATAAATTCATTTGGTATGCTGTCATGGCAGAAATAATGCCATCCAGACCTGAGTTTTTAGTGATCACAGTAAAACACTGGCTAGGCCTACTTACAAGTGCTTTTTAAAGGGAGACATGGTGTTCTAGAGTAGTATTTCTCAACCTGTGGGTTGCGACCCAAAAGTAAATCTCAAGACTATATGAAAGTGTCATGAACAAACTTTAAAAATGGATCAACAGACTTTAAAAATTGATTCTCATTTAAAGGAAAAAAACATGAGAAGCTGTGGCTTTTCCCTTGTAGGCTGAAACAGCCTGCAGGGGCTGTTTGGGACTACTTGGGGCCCTTCATACCCCACATCTCTCCCCCCTCTCCAACCTACACACTGGGGGGCTGGAGCCTGGGGGCAAGGAGGCAATGGGTCAGGCATAAGGGGCACTGGATCAGGACTTGCCATCAATTTTTACAAAAGGGTTCTGGTACAAAAAAGGTTGAGAGCCACTGCTCTAGAGAACTGGTGTTGGGAACTCTCCAGTTTTGAAGAAATGCAGAATTCCAATATGGGCTCTGCCACTGACTCACGGGCCTGAGAAAATTGAATTCCCTTTCAGTCAGTTGCACCTACTGAGTCTACAGCTAAATTTTTTCGTTTTTGTCCCAGTTTCTTCTTCTTTAAAACTGAGGTGATATTTGCAGGGTTATCATAATAGATAATTGTCCAGTGCTTTAAAAATGTTAGCAGCTCTATTACAGTTCTGTTAACATGGGAATATATTACTTACTGGAGATAAGGACAAGCAGAATCATGGTGCCACACTTTGGGCACAGTGTTGTATCTGTTTGTGTGAGTCATGTGATAAAGGAAATATATGGCAATTAATTCATTTGCAAAGCACTTCAAGATAGAGATATGCAAAGTGTTGCATAGATTCAAATTACTGTGTCTGTTAAATCTAACTGTACTTCAATATCACTGGGAACTAATGGAGATTTATTTACAGTCATTTCCACATATTTATGATTTTTTAATCAGAAACTGCAGTTATTTAAGATCATAGGAAAGTAGGGCTAGCAGGGACCTCACAAGGTTATCTAGTCCAGCCCCCTGCTCAAGGCAGGGTCATACTTGACCATCAGTTTAAAAGGACTTGAGAGAAGCACATTTAATTAAATACTAATCCCAAGGGATTTTAACAGCGATAGCAAAAATATATCTCTGAACTCTGAAACTCTTGTCAGATTTTCAAATTTGTATTCTCTCAAAAGCTCTTGTCATCACAAAAGTTCAAAATCTATTACAGTTTCTGGTGGTGTATTTTAAATTTACAGTGTTTCTCACTGGGATAGCCTCCTTAATTGTACTTCTAATTTAGATGGGAGAATGCCAGTTATCCTGTTCCTCCAAAAAATACTTCCATACAATACAAAATCACATAATGCAGGATCTTGGATTTGAAACAGGCAACAACCCAAAAGAGCCACAATGTAAATCCCTTGTGCTTGGGAATGGCTTCTTAGGTATAAAATCTACTCAAAATTTGCTGGCTGAATGCTTATTTCCCTGTATTTCCTCTGTTTGGCACAGCAGTTTCAAAAGCCTGCCTCCCATTATCTATTAATCCATCATAATCCATTAATCCGCTGCTGGCAAAAGCCAGTGTTTGAAACACTGTTCAGCAGGTGCTTCACATTGCAGACAGGAAATCTGTAGGGTACATATCCAGTCAGAGCTTCACATGTATTAATGCCTTTACTTCCCCAAACTTATATGCCCTTTGCCAGCATTTTTTGTGTACCATATGTTTAGTGATTATGTAGGGCTATTTTAAGAGGACTTCTTATGGTCTTTGTTGCTGTTTAAGATTTTTAAAAAAACATTAACCAGTCTAGATGTATATCAAGTATAGATCAAACAGCTGCATAGCTACTATTATGAGTGGTTAGTAAATCTTTTAGCTTTTTATGCAAGAAAGCACTGAAGGCCCAAGACATTTACTGGTTTGTTTTTTTTAAATAGCCTCCTGTAGTTTTTACAAGTTAGAAGTCTCACTTCTCGGTCAGAAATAGCTAGAAGATCAACAGAATCAAGAAAGACCTTCATCATACACTTAGTCTCAGTCAGAGTGGGCATGTCTATACAAGACATTTACTGCGTAGTAGACAAATTAGCTATAAACTATAATAGAAATTATCTATAATTAGCTGTGCAATAAACATCACCTGTCTACTCCTATTAGGCTGGAGTAAACTAATTTGCTCCGCAGCAGGATAGTACTTGTATTTGCAAACTCTGCGGCAGCACACATGTAGATGCTGCCCTGGCTGGCTGGGGC